TGAGTTTAAGCCACCGGGTCCGGGACTCGAACCGCGGTCGACTATGTGGGAGTTCAGCGACATAGCCATTACGCTAACTGCTGGCCCCTATTATTACAACCATTTTAAGGAATTTGAGGCATAAGAAGTTAAGCACCTGGGGCCAGCAGGTGGTGTAATGGTTAAGGCGCTGGACTCCCACATGGATGACCATGCTTTGAGTCCTGGACCCGGCAGCTTAAAAGTCACACCAGGGGCTGGCAGGTGGTATGGTGGTTGAGGGCACTGGACTCCCATATGGCTGACTGCAGTTCGAGTCCTGAACCTGGTAGCTTGCTTTTTCACTCCCCTCCCTCATTTTGTCCCTCCCTGATCAAATTTAAATAAATAAATAAAATAAAGTTCAATAAAATAGTTTTTTTTTTGAAAGTCATACCAAAAAATAAAGTTCAATAAAATAGTTTTTTTTTTTTTGAAAGTCATACCAGGCACGTGTACATGCATGTGTGCCCGAAATCCTAAGAGGAGAATGAAGGAACAGGGATTGAGATGTGGCCGTCTCCCTCAGGGGTGATTTCTCACTTTCTCTGTGTCTCTGATGAGTACATGCCCCCTAAACCAAAAATCTCTCTAAAACAAAAACAAAAACAAAACAGGGAATAGCAGATAGCATAATGGTTATGTTGTTGGATTCCCACATAATCAACTATAGTTCAAGTCCTGGACCTGGGGACTTACAACTCACACTGGGCATGTGTGTATGCCTGCCCAAGATCCCGAAAAGAGGATAGAGGAGAAGGGATTGCGGCATGGTCATCCCCCCCAGGGGGTGATTTCACTTTCTGTCTGTCTCTGTCTCTCCAGCAAGTTCATATGCCCTATAGCAAAAATCTCTAAAAAAAAAAAAAAAAAGATAAAAGTTAAGTAACTTATCCAAGGTCACACAGAACTGAATCCCTGTAATTAACCTTTAAGTTTTGGTGCCTATAAACAGGGAAAGTTGGGGCTAGCCCCATGGCTTAGTGGTTAAAGGAGCTGGATCCCATACGGCCACGTGACTTGAACATCCTAGACCAGGCGGCCTGAAAAACACACCGGGCACGTGTTGGCACTGACAGGAGGGAGAAATGAGAAGGAACTGCAGCCTGACCACGCTCTATGGGGGGGGTGCTGTCTCTGGGAAGGGCACAGGCCCTTTGACAAACTTCTTTTTTTTTCTTTTTTCTTTCTTTCTTTTTTTTTTTTGAGAGGTTTTTGCTATAGGGCGCATGTGCTAACCAGACAGACAGAGAGAGACATAGAGACAGAAAGCGAGAAATCACCCCCCAGGGGGGATGGTCACGCTGCAATCCCTTCTCCTCCATTCTCCTCTCGGGATCTTGGACACACATGCACACGTGCCCGGCGTGAGTTCTAAGCCACCGGGTCTGGGACATGAACCGCGGTCGACTACGTGGGAGTCCAGTGACATAGCCGTTACGCTAACTGCTGGTTCTCGCAAATTTCTTTTTTTAAAAAAGAAATACTTTTGGGGCCAGCAGGTGGCATGATGGTTAAGGGTGCTGGACTCCTACATGGCTGACCATGGTTCGAGTCCTGGACCTGGTGGCTTGCTTTCTCACTTTCTTTCTCCCTTCCTCTCACTCGCTCTGTCCCACTCTAGTCAAATTAAAATAAATAAAGTTAAATAAAATAATTCTTTTTAAAAAAAAAAGAAAAAGGAAATTTGTTCAAATTCTGCCAGCACTAACCAGGACTCTCTACTCCTCAAAATGAGTGCTAAAACATTACTAGAGAAGGGAACCAGCAATTAGCGTAATGGCTACGTCGCTGGACTCCCACGTAGTCGACCGCGGTTCGTGTCCCGGACCCAGTGGCTTAAAACTCACGCCGGGCGCGTGTGCGTGCGTGCCCAAGATCCCGAGAGGAGAATGGAGGAGAAGGGATTGCGGCGTGACCATCCCACCTGGGGGGTGATTTCTCGCTTTCTGTCTCTATGTCTCTCTCTGTCTGTCTGGCGAGCGCACGCGCCCTACAGTGAAAATCTCTCCAAAAAAAAAAAAACCACATTACTAGAGAAGAAAAAGCTTACCCAGCAAGGCACCACAGCTCGACCAGAATATCCACAATACAGTGTAGTGAGAACACGGGGCTCAGTGTAGTGAGAATCACAAAACCCTGGGCTCTGTCTCAGGTATTCTGCCTGATCTTGGGTACTTCGCCCATCTGAAGTTCAGTCTTCTCTTCTATAAAAGGGTCCACAATGGAACCAGCAGATGGCTTAATGGTTACGTTGCTGGACTTCCACATAGTCAAATGCTATTCAAGTCCTGGACCTGGCAGCTTAAAATTCATACCAGACGCATGTGTGTGTCCCCAAAATCCTGAGAGGAGACTGGGGAAGGGATTGTGGCATGACCATTCCCCCTGGGTGGTAATTTTTCACTGGTGCTTGAGTTCTAGAAAAGATTGGTACCCTATAGCAAAAAAAAACACTCTCTAAAAATAAATAAATAAATAAGGATCCATGACAACATTTCATCCAGGATTGCCATAAAAACAAAAGCAAAAATCTTGATAAAGGTCCTGGCAGACATCAGCAGAGCGCCTCCCTCCATCCCTTAAGAACTCAGTGCCAGGAACCAGCAGTTAGCGTAATGGCTATGTCGCTGGATTCCCACAGTCGACCGTGGTTCGTGTCCCGGACCCGGTGGCTTAAATCTCACTCCGGGCATGTGTGCGTGCATGCCTAGGATCCCGAGAGGAGAATGGAGGAGAAGGGATTGCGGCATGACCATCCCCCCTGGGGGGTGATTTCTCGCTCTCTGTCTTTATGTCTCTATCTGTCTGGCGAGCGCATGCGCCCTATGGCGAAAAAAAAAAAAGAACTCAGTGCCGTCCTGCTGACAGCCGTCCTCAGGCCTGTAATTCGGTCTCTAGAGCAGACCTGCACCTGGGATGGACTGTCCTAAGCCAATTACCAACACCATTCATCCTCCCAGGATAAATGAATAAAATGGCATCTGCTTTATAAACCTAGCTCTGGTGATTGAGTTAGGGTGAGTCATCGCGCCATGAGCCTAATCACCTCTGGGAAACAGATGCAATCAAGTTCCTGGACCTGCAATGCAGAGGACAAACCCGAGACCATAGTGACCCCTGCCTCCCAGCAACGAAGACCAGAAGGAAAGATGCAAAAACGAAACTGTTGTTAGGGACCCATGTGTCTGCACCCTCAAATTCCCCTCCCAATTTTCCCAGAGGCACCAATTCTCACTAAAAGCCAAACTGCCCCGAGCTGAAACCAGAGCCAATGCAAGGAGCAGCAATTTCCTTCTGGAAGAGGAGCGAGGTGAGGAGCCCCAGGAGCTGGCAGCCTGGGGTTCTGGGCAGGGAAGGAGCAAGGGTGGGGTCCTGGGGCTGTTACCTTGAGCAGGTTGAAGAGCAGCGGCAGAGCCCGCAGAGGCAGCAGCTTGGCCACGATGCTCAGCACCAGGCTGACGTCTTCCCCTACCCGGCCCACCAGTTCGGTCACCTCCTTTCCCACCCGCTGCAGGGTGGTCTTGCGCAAACCCAGCACAATGTAGAGGGCGGCCAGGTACTCCTGCATGGCCTGCACGGTGAACACGAAGGTGCCAGGGTGCCCTGGCTCCACACACGGGGCCAGAAAAAACCTCAGAGCATCCCGGCGGAAGACATGCAGCAGCTGAAACTCCTCTTCCGTCTGAATGCCGGCCTCCAGGCAGCCACGGACATCCTCTTCAGAGAAGTAGGTCTTGCGGGAGGACACCCCATCATAGGCTAACTTGCCCATGGTGCGGGCTGCGTAAGCCATCAGGGACAACTTGGAGGGGTCGGTGCTGTCCAGCGTTTCCCCGCTGAAGTTGAGGCGCAGGAAGCTGGTGTAGATGCTGGTCAGGGTCTGGCCGGCAGGTGTCGGGGCGTGCAGGAAGTGCAAGGTGGCGCAGAGACCCAGTGGCTTAAAACTCACACCGGGCGCGTGTGCGTGCGTGCCCAAGATCCCGAGAGGAGAATGGAGGAGAAGGGATTGCGGCGTGACCATCCCACCTGGGGGGTGATTTCTCGCTTTCTGTCTCTATGTCTCTCTCTGTCTGTCTGGCGAGCGCACGCGCCCTACAGTGAAAATCTCTCCAAAAAAAAAAAAACCACATTACTAGAGAAGAAAAAGCTTACCCAGCAAGGCACCACAGCTCGACCAGAATATCCACAATACAGTGTAGTGAGAACACGGGGCTCAGTGTAGTGAGAATCACAAAACCCTGGGCTCTGTCTCAGGTATTCTGCCTGATCTTGGGTACTTCGCCCATCTGAAGTTCAGTCTTCTCTTCTATAAAAGGGTCCACAATGGAACCAGCAGATGGCTTAATGGTTACGTTGCTGGACTTCCACATAGTCAAATGCTATTCAAGTCCTGGACCTGGCAGCTTAAAATTCATACCAGACGCATGTGTGTGTCCCCAAAATCCTGAGAGGAGACTGGGGAAGGGATTGTGGCATGACCATTCCCCCTGGGTGGTAATTTTTCACTTTCTGTCTCTGTCTTTCTAGAGAGGATATGTACCCTATAGCAAAAAAAAAAACTCTCTAAAAATAAATAAATAAATAAGGATCCATGACAACATTTCATCCAGGATTGCCATAAAAACAAAAGCAAAAATCTTGATAAAGGTCCTGGCAGACATCAGCAGAGCGCCTCCCTCCATCCCTTAAGAACTCAGTGCCAGGAACCAGCAGTTAGCGTAATGGCTATGTCGCTGGATTCCCACAGTCGACCGTGGTTCGTGTCCCGGACCCGGTGGCTTAAATCTCACTCCGGGCATGTGTGCGTGCATGCCTAGGATCCCGAGAGGAGAATGGAGGAGAAGGGATTGCGGCATGACCATCCCCCCTGGGGGGTGATTTCTCGCTCTCTGTCTTTATGTCTCTATCTGTCTGGCGAGCGCATGCGCCCTATGGCGAAAAAAAAAAAAGAACTCAGTGCCGTCCTGCTGACAGCCGTCCTCAGGCCTGTAATTCGGTCTCTAGAGCAGACCTGCACCTGGGATGGACTGTCCTAAGCCAATTACCAACACCATTCATCCTCCCAGGATAAATGAATAAAATGGCATCTGCTTTATAAACCTAGCTCTGGTGATTGAGTTAGGGTGAGTCATCGCGCCATGAGCCTAATCACCTCTGGGAAACAGATGCAATCAAGTTCCTGGACCTGCAATGCAGAGGACAAACCCGAGACCATAGTGACCCCTGCCTCCCAGCAACGAAGACCAGAAGGAAAGATGCAAAAACGAAACTGTTGTTAGGGACCCATGTGTCTGCACCCTCAAATTCCCCTCCCAATTTTCCCAGAGGCACCAATTCTCACTAAAAGCCAAACTGCCCCGAGCTGAAACCAGAGCCAATGCAAGGAGCAGCAATTTCCTTCTGGAAGAGGAGCGAGGTGAGGAGCCCCGGGAGCTGGCAGCCTGGGGTTCTGGGCAGGGAAGGAGCAAGGGTGGGGTCCTGGGGCTGTTACCTTGAGCAGGTTGAAGAGCAGCGGCAGAGCCCGCAGAGGCAGCAGCTTGGCCACGATGCTCAGCACCAGGCTGACGTCTTCCCCTACCCGGCCCACCAGTTCGGTCACCTCCTTTCCCACCCGCTGCAGGGTGGTCTTGCGCAAACCCAGCACAATGTAGAGGGCGGCCAGGTACTCCTGCATGGCCTGCACGGTGAACACGAAGGTGCCAGGGTGCCCTGGCTCCACACACGGGGCCAGAAAAAACCTCAGAGCATCCCGGCGGAAGACATGCAGCAGCTGAAACTCCTCTTCCGTCTGAATGCCGGCCTCCAGGCAGCCACGGACATCCTCTTCAGAGAAGTAGGTCTTGCGGGAGGACACCCCATCATAGGCTAACTTGCCCATGGTGCGGGCTGCGTAAGCCATCAGGGACAACTTGGAGGGGTCGGTGCTGTCCAGCGTTTCCCCGCTGAAGTTGAGGCGCAGGAAGCTGGTGTAGATGCTGGTCAGGGTCTGGCCGGCAGGTGTCGGGGCGTGCAGGAAGTGCAAGGTGGCGCAGACGAGCCAGCAGTAGGAGGGCAGGAAGCAGGCCGCAGCGATCTGGTGATGCCCCTCCAGGTTCCGGGAGAGCATCTGCACCAGGCTGTCACGCTGAGCGAGCGTGACTGAGACGCCCGTGCCCCCATACCCACAGTCTGGCTGGTTGAAGCGGAGCTGGAAGTAGAGCTTCTGCAGGTTGGTATCAGAGAAGCCGCAGATCTCACCATAGCGGCCCACGTACTTGCTGGGGATGCGGCCGATGGCAGAAGGCCGGGTGGTCACCAGAATGCTGGCCTAGGAAGCACATGGTTGAGGGTTCAGAAAAGCCTCAGTGCCCTGATCTCCTCAATCCCCAGGGAGTCCCCGAAAAGTACCCAAGGAGAAAGAGGAAGATGACAATGCTAACTAAGGAGTACTGAACACCGGCTACAGCTCAGGGCACTGTGTACTTGCCATGCCATCTCTCCCTTGATGAGTAGAACTCAAGAAGAAAAGGAAGGGACCAGCAGATGGCATAATGGTTACATCACTGAAGTCCCACATAGTCGACTGTAGTTCAAGTCCCAGACCTGGCGACTTAAACTCATGCCAGTGTGTGTGTGCGTGTGCCCAAGATCCTGAGAGGAGAATGGAGGAGAAGGGATTGCAACATGGCCATCCCCCTGGGAAGATGGTTTCTTGCTTTCTGTCTCTCTCTCTCTCTCTCTCTTTGTCTCTCTCTGTCTCTCTTGCGAGTGCCTGCACCCTATAACTCTCTTAAAAAGAAGAAAAGGAAACAAGCTTGGAGAAGTTAGTGAACTGCTTGGGGTCACACAGCTGAGAAGTCAGGGGGCTCAGACTCAAACTAACCCAGGACCTATGCTCCTGCCCAATAAATGTGTGAGCCCAGGACACAAAAAAAACCTAGGGGGATGTCAAGAGGCCCCCACCTCAGGCAGCATGTATTTGCGCAGCAGGTTGACGACGATGGCAGCTGGTGCCTCTGGCTCCTCTGGGTCACTGCAGAGCCCTGTGCTGGCCAGCCGGAAGTCGAGGTTGAGACGCTCCAAGCCATGCAGCACGAAGAGGAGGCGGGACCCGGCGGCAGCTAGCGAGGGCAGCACCTCCTTCAGGGGCGTGTAGCGCTGGGCCACAAGCTGGCACAAGGAGGCCGGGGCGGGGCCCAGGGACGACAGGTCCTCGCAGGAGAAGGGGATGAGCAGCTCGAAGGCTGGCAGCCGGCCGTAACACCAGTCCAGGACCATCTTGCGCACCAGCGTGCTCTTGCCCGTGCCCACCGTCCCGTATAGCACCACCGTCTGCACCCGGCGCCCACAGGCATCGGGGTCAAAGAGCTGAGACAGGGCCAGCGGGGGGAGCCCGACCGGGGGTGGCCGATGCTCCAGCGCCAGCTCAGCAGACGGGCGGAACAGCTCATCAGGGGAGCTCTCGCGGATCACAGGGTCAACGTGGACAGTGTCTAGCGCAAAAGTTGGGCCAAACTGGCGCTCCTCCCTGGGCAGCCGGCTGAACCACTCGGCTAGGTTGTGGCGGTGCTGCTGGATGGCTTCTGCATGGGAAGGCAAGGGAAATGCGTCAGGGAAAGCCTGGCGGTAGGTGCAGGAGCTGAGAGCCAGTCACCATGCTGGTCGGGTCAGGCTGCAGTCAAAACATGACACCCAGAGATGCTGGGGCCCACAGTGGAAGTACAGACAGTTCAGAAAGTTTGGAACCTCTATAACAGAAAGTGGGGAGCCCGTGGAGTAATGCCAGGCCTGGCCGACAGGTTTTATGGTTCTCTGTGTGTAGTCGTCACCCGACTGCTAGACCCAACGTCTGTTGAAGGTAGGGATCTCTCCCAGGCTTTGTACACAGTAAGTGTACATGGCAGGAGTGTTGCAGGCAGGGGTACCTAGACAGATGGGAGGGCGGGGCCCCTGAGGGATGGTGGCAATGCTTCCTCCACGCCTCCTGCACGGTGCTGCTCCTTCCAGCTCCCTCTCCCTGCTGGGATCCCAGCCTGCCCCTTTACCGGCTGCAGAGGTGCTCCGGAATAGCTGTCCTTGTCTCCCTGGAGGAGGCCCACTGCCTGCTGAGCTTCCATGGTGGCGTATAAGAGCCCTGGGAACAAGAGGGAGCAAGCTAGGGCTCGGAGACTGAGCTCAGCCCCAGACCCATCTGCATGGCCCAGCCAGGACTTCTGGCTTCCCAAGAGTGAGACCCCATACTGTTGAGAACCTTGACTAACTATCACACCCTCCACAGGGGCAGAGACTCACCCCCAGTCCTCCTCCCAATGCTGAGGGCTTGCCTGGAACGTGGCTGGCCCTGCCAGACTCCACCCACTTCCCATAGGTCCTCCCCCCTCTGACCACTGACTTCTACTGTACAGGATCTCAGCCAACTTCCTCCCAGGGCTGGGAGCTGCCTCTGTATCCTCCCCTCCCCTCCCAGCCCCAAACCAAGCCCCTCCCCTAGGGGATCTGAGCTAGCTCCTTCCCAGTCTCCTGTGCTGTGCCCAGACGCAGCTTGGGTATAACACCAGGCCTCACCTAGTGGGCCCAAGAGAGTGCTCGCCTTTAATGAGCGAACTCCAGTGGAGCAGGAAAGGGATCCGTTGACCTAGAAGAAGAAATAGCATCTATAGGGACAGCAGATGGTGTAATGGTTACATTGCTTGGACTCCCATGTAGTCGACTGTGGTTCAAGTCTCGGACAAGGTGGATTAAAACACACCAGGCAGGGACCAGCAGTTGGTGTAATGGCTATGTTGCTGGACTCCTATACAGTCGACCGCGGTTTGAGTCCCGGACCCATTGACTTGAACTCATGCCGGGCACATGTGCCATGACTGCCCAAGATCCTGAGAGGAGAATGGAGGAGAAGGAATTGCAGCGTGGCCATTCCCCCCTGGGGGGTGATTTCTCCCTTTCTGTCTGTCTATCTCTTTCTGTCTTGCAAAAACCTCTCCAAAAATAAACCACACCAGGCACATATGAATGCATGCCCAAAATTCCAAAAAGAGAATGGAGGAGGGAACCAGCAGTTAGCGTAATGGCTATGTCGCTGGACTCCCACGTAGTCGACCGCGGTTTGCGTCTCGGACCCGGTGGCTTAAAACTCATGCCGGGCGCGTGTGCGTGCGTGCCCAAGATCCTGAGAGGAGAATGGAGGAGAAGGAATTGCAGCGTGGCCATTCCCCCCTGGGGGGTGATTTCTCGCTTTCTGTCTCTATGTCTCTCTCTGTCTGTCTGGCGAGCGCACGTGCCCTATAGCGAAAATCTCTCCAAAAAAGAAAAAAAAAAAAAAGAGAGAATGGAGGAGAAGGGACTGCAGTGTGGCCATCCCTCTTTGTGGGGGGGAGGGGGATTTCTCACTTTCTGTCTCTCTGTCTCTCTGCAAGCCTATGTGCCCTGTGGCAAAAAAAATCTCTGCAGAAAAAACAAAAATTAAAACAAAAATAGCATCTATAGGGACAGCAGATGGTGTAATGGTTACATTGCTTAGATCCCATCCGTATTTTCACACCAATGCACAAAGCCCAGGTCTACACCAGCTCGCCCCATGGGCCGCGTATAGCATGCACTGCCCTCTACAGTGGGTACCACACCTACTCCGTGTGCGATCATTTGATTCGCATTCATTCCTCCCCCTCCGTGGAACAGTGACCACTTCTTTTTCTGTTCACAATTACTCACATATACCTAGAACCTAACACACGGTTCAGTACACAGCAAACATCGGTTAAATGTAAAAAGAAATCCGTGTTTCTAGACTTCAACAGCTACACGGCACCATCTGGATCCCAGAGAGGAAGAGAGAGGTAGAAACAGAAAGTCCTGCCTCCTGCTCACCTGGTGGCCGAGGTGCTCCTCTGAGGCCAGAGCCCCAAGGGGCCCTGGGCAAATGACGTCCCCACCTCATCCTGGGAGAGGTCAGAGCCTGGGGGCTTAGCATCACCTTCTAGCCGGCTTCCCTGAAAAAAGTGTGTGAATGGATCGCCACCACCACCCCCCTTGCCCTTCCCACGACTCTTCCTTGGCCCACAGCAGGTGGGCCAAGGAGGGGCCTCCCTTCCAGAGAGGATAAGGCAACATTGCTGAGGCCTTGACCCAGCTCTTAGCCCCGCCCCCTCCTATAACCCCAACCTGTGTCCGTCTTGCCTTCTATCACCCCTTGTTCTGTCTTGAAGTGCCACAAACACCTTTCTCCTGAGTTCCAGCCTAGTAAACTGCTTTAACTGTCCTTTTATTGCTGGGCTGCCAGCGAGCTCCGAGCGCAGTCCTGTATTCAATTTCAGTGGCTTTTCTGAGCCTAGATTTTCCAATAATAATTATCCACTCCCTGCTGCTGTGGTTGCCTAGCTATCGGGTCCTTTGAGCCGAGATTTAATGGCTTTATCATTTTATCATCTTGTGACTTTTATGTAAGCGGCCTTTGAGGCCAGCATGAATAATAAATAAAAGAATAAATGAACTTCCTACTTGACATCTCCATATGGATATCCCACCAGTGCTTCAAGCTTCACCATGCAAAATCGAACTCACCATTCCCCATTCCGTTTTAGCTACTGCAAATCTTCCAGGCACACAAACGTACACTAGAAACCTGGTCTGTGTCTTCATACCCTTCACCCACTTCTTAGGGAGGTCCCACAGTCACCACTTCCTCCCCACTGCTTCCCCTGCCCGACCCTACCGCCCTAGTGCCAGCGCAGTCCATCCAGGACATACAGCACCTCTTCCCCAGGGCGGCCTGCCGTCTCAGCCCATTCCAGAGCAGTGTGTCTGCACCTGCCCCCAGCCTGCAGCCATTCCCAGGCTCCACTGCGCTCTTGCTCACTTCCCTAACTTTGTTTAGACACCTTCCTCAGCATGCATTGACTGCTCCCATCCAATCTGTTCAGATGCTACCTATTCAAAGGTCTTATCTTCTGGGAAGTCTGGCCCGAGCTCTCCAAGCTCCCTTTAAAGGGAGCAGGCTCTCTTTTGGTGCCGGGTCTTCTGATCAGAGTTTTTCAAGCACGCAGGGCACCAGCAGGAAGAATCCGCTGCCCTGGGTGGCTGCCTTGCCACGGCTAACCAGTAGAGGGACTGCTGGGGTGCCGGCTGAGCTCAGAGAGGCACCCCAGGAGCTGGAGAAGGTGGAAACCTGTGATAGCTCAGAGAAACTGGTTCAGGGTTAACAACAGCTCCAGGGGCCCTGAATCAATATGGGATTCTCTGCCCATCGCCCGGGTCTCCAGGGCGCTGAGAAGCAGGCGCACAGCAGGGAAAACACAAGGGTGATATTCGGACAGGCCCGTATCTCCCCCACCGAGCTGGGTCCCAAACAGCTCTCCTACTTTCTACTGGCTTCGGGACCAAGGGGGAGAACCTGC